GTCCTACCTCTGCTCCAGCGTTATTTCCCATAAACTGTTTCAAATCTGGTTTTGCTACATTTTATGGCTGCTGTTGTGACATCATCATTGTTTGGAAGGATTGTACCTGCTGTTCCAGCATGATGAAGCAGTAAAAGCTGCCAGGCTGGTTTCAGTCAATGGTTCTTCAGTTCTCCACAGCAGGATGACTGCTGCTCTGAAACATAAAACAAAGATTCAACTAAATGATTTGAATCGCTTCCATTTCCTGAACTGATCCAGTTCTTCTGTTTTCTTCTTTCAGATTCGGCTTCACAGCTGTCAGGTAGGAAAATGCTTCCATGGGGGAAACTAACCTGCTGCTTTGCTTTCTGCCATAGTTTCTAAAAGTGCATTTAATATTAAAGCATTTTATAAAATATATTTATAAAATATATTTGCATTAAAGACTGAAGTGAAACAATCCAGTTTATTTCTATGCTCCAGTGTTCATAACTAGTCATCTCAGGTCTATTCATAGATCCAGATCAACCAGATCAATGGCAGTTAGTGGCTGAATAACATTGTTCCTCACTTTAGAAAATGTTCTTCCAATGACCTTATCTCCTGACGTTTGTTTACACATCACAGATCTAACCTACTTCCACCGTCTGTGGATAAGTCAGGTCTGCAGAGAGTAGCAGAATACTGGCAATGCTTTTCTATCTAACAGGAGTCATTACTGCATTACTGCCAGATGAACCAGAAGTCAGCATCATTTAGCAGATTTTACTGAAGAAGTGAATTCATGTCCATTTCCCTGCAGACTGTGGTCGGCCACAGCTGAACACCAGGATCGTTGGAGGACAGGCAGCTCCTGCTGGCAGCTGGCCCTGGCAGGTCAGTCTGCACAGATCGTCTCACTTCTGTGGAGGATCCCTGATTAACAACCAATGGGTTCTGACTGCGGCTCACTGCGTCCCAACGTAAGTCCCAGCAGGATCCGGTCTGAGGCCTTGATGATGGAAAGCTCTGGTTCCACACAGACCGTTGATTTTAGAGACGGAACCACGGCTTCTTCATTGATCCCATAGATTCTAACTATTTAGTAGAAATAGGATTCCTTATCAGGCCGATGGTCTGGAAATTGTCAGAGGAGCAGAGGGGAAGCATGTTGGGTTAGAAAGGCGGTGCTGACAGCTACGACCAGCCGAGGTCTCATTCCTGGATAATTCACACTCATTCGCCCACATCACCTATTGGCAGAGATGGGAAGTAACGAAGTACAAATACTTCGTTACTGTACTCAAGTAGATTTTTCGGATATTTTTACTTTACTTTACTACTTATTTTTATCGCGACTTTTTACTTCTACTCCTTACATTTTTACACAAATATCTGTACTTTCTACTCCTTACATTT